CAACTCTAGGTTTGAATCTGTTCTTCAGTTCCTTGAGCTTAAGAAATGCTGAGCGAGTTCGGCCCTTTTGATTTTCTGACTCTAGTTCCGCGCACATTTCATTGTAGTATTTTGCTTTGTCATTCTGAGCAGCCTTTTGGAATCTTCTGTTCAGCTCTTTAGTATCTGTATTGTCTGTATTAGCCAGCCTTTTTATACCATAGGCAGACCTTCTAAGTTTGGTCCCATTCTTTTTGTTTGTTATGATCTTTATGGTTTTGGGCTTTATCTCTAGGTCTCAGATCTACCTTTAGTCGATTTTTGTGTATGAAGATGTGGCTCCTGCTTCGTCTTTCTGCAGGTAGCAGTCCAGTTTTGCCAGCACCATTTATTGAAGAAGTTGTTTTTTCCCCTTTTGATAGGTTTTGTTTCTTTGTTAAATTCCTTTATACTTTTTTAATATTAATTGTGCGTTTTATCTAAAAAGGCTTAAAATATGTAATTTTAATAGTCACCACTCTTTTTAAAATAAAAATCAATTTGTCATTTTTTTGTGGAAACTTAAATAGTCTAATAAAAACATAACAATACAAGAAGCTTGTTGCCTGGGAACCAAAACTGACACATAGCTGACCCATCAGCAAGTTTTTAAGGATTATGTATCACATATATGAAGAGGAAATGGCCCACTTTTTCTCCCTTGGGACAGCTGATGGATTCAAACCACCTGCCTTTGAGGTGGCAGAGAAAAACTCCTTACCCTTTTGGTCGCCAGAATTCCCTAATAGGTTCAAGGAAGAAATATTTCTTACCAATTTTTAAAATCATTTTTGTTTTGGAACCATGTTATACTCACAGGTCATCACAAAAAAAAGATACATTCAAATCCCTTCACCCCTTCACCCAGCCTTCCCCATCGGTGCTACGTTAGATAACTGAATTGTAATACCAAGAACAGGAAATTGACAGTGTTTCAGTAATGTTAACTGTACTAATCTGCTGCTGTCCAGCCAAATCCGTCTCATAGCAATGCTCCGTCAGGTTTCTGAGGCTGTACATCTCCTCACAAGAGAGAGGAGGCTGCACATCTTTCTGCTTTGTAATTCTTGGAGGATTCGAACCCCTGGCCCTTTGGTTAGCTGCATAGCATGTAATACACTGCACCATGAGGCCCCTGTATTAACCGTAATGTTGACTTTACTTCATTTTCATATGCATTCACTCATATCTTTATGTGCAAATATGTGTGTGTATAATTTCACTTAATTTGATATCCTAAGTATAAATGCAATTATGTGGTTTGAGTCCATGTATGGGTTCACATACCCACAAACACTCATCATGACACAGAACTCTGTCATCAAAACATAGAAGTTCCTCCTCTTTGTTTTTGGTATCCTCTCCTCACCACCTCCCTCCTTCCTGGACACACATTTGTACTAGTCTCCTGGACACTACAGTTCTTTGTCATTTTGAGAATGTTAATGTAAATGGAGGCACTATGCAACGTTTTGAGATGGACATATTTTTTGGCTTAGACTAACATCCTTTAGATATATATCCAAATTGCTTCATGACGTTAGTTTCTTTTTATTCTGTTGATTTCTGAATTTGTGGCCAAGCTTATTGTCATGCAGCTCCAGATGTGAATAAAATGTGGCCTTTCTCTTGCTTTCATTCATGCACTCTCGACTCCATGCTCAGCTGTGCACAGAGCGCCTGGGCATGGAGACCTACTGGGGAGACTCCTAGTGGGTCGAGGGAAAGGGGAGCTAAGCATAAATGAAATACATTACCATGCAGCCTCGTGGCACAAATGCTCAAGAGTCTAGCCTCTAGCAGAGAAGCTGGTGGCTGAAACCTACCCAGTGGCTCCTGGCAGTCTACTTCCTTAAAGATTCTGGCCTCAAAAACCTTTGGAGGTCATCTGCTCTGTCACAGGCTGTCACTGGATCCAAATCAGCTCAGTAGCACCTTAGAAGACGTGGTCAGGAGATGATCCTGTGACCTCAGTTCTAAATTATCAGTCATTTTTAAAAAATTCTCTTCCCATATTTTTTTTGTTTTCCTGAGCTTTTTCAATGGGTCAGAACACCTCTGTTGTCTGTGTGGTAGTTATTGTTTATCAGTATTTGTCAGCCTTTTGCGTTCATGACCTTATTGTCCTGTGTGATTCTCTGGTGCCGTTCATGTTGGCACAAACACCATCACCATCATAACACACAGCATGCTTCTCTGTATCCTTGTTCTTGTCAGCTCTTGCCTAAGATGCTTTTCGGTGTGCACGTTGCTGGTTTTAGTCTGATTTTTCCTTCAAAGTGTGTGGTAAGTCTCGTCTTCATTACAAGACTATCTTCCCACACTCACGTTCATATTCTTGTAGCAGTTAATAACTCATATGAGCTATCGCTTCTCGGCCTTTTGGCTAAGATCAAGTGTAATAACTCATATGAGCTGTGAGCGGGAAGCTGCTTGTTCAGAGTCAACAAGACCTAGTGGAGGGCTTTGGTATTTAAAAGTCAGGTGGGCCCCAAGACTCCAGTTTGGAGGCTGATGTATGAAGTGGGTGGATTCTGGAAGATGGGATGTTTTGTATTGGCTGAGGGTCGGGTGTGGACTGTTTGGTTCTTTTCATTTATTTTGTTCACAGTTGTGTGTGAGCTGATTGGAGTTGCTGGATGTAGCAAACAGTGAGCTGTGGGTGGGAAGCCACTTGTTTAGAGTCGACAGGACCTAGTGAGCACCTTGGTATTTAAAAGTTGACTGGTGTTAATTGTGTTCAGGACTAACATTCTTCTAAGTGGTATGGAACTGGACTGTTAATTTGCTGCACTGAGGTAACTTGGGTTTGCTGTGATGCCGAACACTGTGCCAAATGCCATAATGGTCACCCACGGTGGACAATGTTTGGTGTGGCACACAGATTCAGACAGGCTTGGAAGCAGGAGTGGCATCTGTTTCCTAAACAACATGCCACTGAAAACTCTATGAACTGAGAGAAATGATAATAGTTACAGCACAGGGTTCAGGTAGTTTGTTCATAGGGTCACTATGAGTCATGTTCAACTCAACGATACTTAGCAACAACAACAAGACTCACCAAACAGATCTTGTTTGTATTTTCTTTTTGCCTATCATTCTCCAAATGAATTAGAAGGTCTTTTGCCCCACTAGTTTATTTACAAAATTCTAATATAAATTTGAACAAATTCTTTCAATTTCCCTCACCCCCCCCAACCCATCAAATTGTACAAGCCAATGATTAATCCCCTCTTCCCCCTTTACATCCACTTCCCTCTGCTTCCAGCCTCTCCCACCCCTCCTGGATCCTTATACTCATTCTACAATAGCGGTCTTATACTATATTTATCTTTGTGGGAGTGAGTTAGTTCACTCAGCATAATGCTCTCCATTCTCTCCCAAGTTAGATAATAATTTATTAATAAGTTATTGCTCCTGCGTGCTGCATAGTATTCCATTGTGTGAATGTACCATAGTTTCTCAATCCATTCGTTTGTGGTTGGACATTTGGGTTGTTTCCATGTTCTTGTGATGGTGAATAATACTGCTATGAACATTGCTATACAAATCTCAGTTTGTGCCTCAGTTCTCATTTTCTCAGGGTATATTCCAAGTAGTGGAATAGCTGGGTCGTATGGAATTTCTTTGTTCAGCATTTTGAGGAAGTGCCAAACTGCCTTCCAGAATGGTTGCACCATTTTACAACCCTACCAACAATGTATAAGAGTTCCTTTCTCGCCACATCCAAAGGCACCTTGTCAATAATCTTAATGCTAGTGTTGGCATGATTTTAGCAGTAAAAATTAGGTTTGTAGTTCCTACAAATAGTAGGTGCCGTGGAGTTGATGTTGACTCATGACAACCTTATCTTAAAATGTCCAGCTGTCCCACAGTATTCTTAAGGTCAGCCTCCATGAAAGTAGATTGCCAAGTCTTTTTCTAGCAAAGCTGCTGCAGAATGGGTTTGAACTTTCAACCTTACAGTTAGCAATCAATAACTTTGTTACCAGCGTCCTGGTGCACAAATACCCACTGCCATCCAATGCATTTCCAATTCTTAGTGACTGTTACTGAGTTTACAAGCCTGTACCTCTTTATGGAAGGAGACTTCCATCTTTCTCCCTCTGAGTGGCTGATGGGCTTGAACCGCTGACTTTTCAGATAGCAGTCTGATGTGCAACACTTCATTCACACCACCAGGGCTCTTTTATACTACAAATCCCAGGTAGAATATTACTGATAAAGATGAATAATAGGTTTTTTTTTTAATTTAGGATTTTTAAAAATTCTGTTTCATCATATTAGAAAATAGCTTGTAATTTTTAAAAATTTTGTTTGCAGTTCATCCCCATACACCTACTTCATTCAAAGTGAAGGACATTAATTCAACAGCTGTTACTCTTTCTTGGCACTTATCAGGCAACTTTGCTAAGAGCAATCTTTTATGTCAAATTGAAATTAATAGAAGTAATTCCGTACAAGAATTGGTGAGTATGATTCTTCTGTAAAGTTACTTTAATGTTATTTTGAATGAAACATAAGAGTTTCCAAAAAGAATCAAGTAATGTGTGTAGAAACTTGGAGTATTTATTGTAATAATTTACTAAGAGGAGATAGTGTATAACACTGTGATAATAGCACTATATTTAGCTTTTGTAAGCAGTTAACAAGACTATTATATAGAACATATATTTAGTAATCCAAATGTTCCCAGATTTAGCATAGTACTTGGCACCTAGTTTGGATTCATTTCCGAATGACTGAGTAGCTTTTGTGGGAACCTTTAGCAGTAGTTACTGAACCAGCTGGCATCAGCAAGAAGAGGTGATCTTTAAGATTGCAAAGTGCATCAACGAGATAATGACAATTAGTAATTATAAGCCAAAGCATGGCTTTTTAATATATTTTCATGGTTTAGATTAACTTTGTATTGCATCATCTTACAATTATTAAAAAACCTTACTTTCATTGCTTTGATTCCAACTTACTATCACCCTTATAGGACAAAGTAGAACTATGCTGTATGGTTCCAAGTCTATAATTATTCTAGAAACAGACTGCTACAGCTTTCTACCAAAGAGCAGCTAGTGGATTTGAACTGCTGATCTTTTGGTTTGCAATTGATGATGTTAACCACTCTGCCACTAAAATGTCTTCTAATTTTTTTTCAATCCACAGTAAACGATAACTGCAATTGAATATTCCTTTAGAAATGTGATTTTTGTGAAGTTAGTTAAAACTGCAAGTGTCCTCCAAAAAGCTGCTTTGTAATAATACTTAAGAGCATAGAACCTTCTTTTAAACAGGAAAACCCTCTCCTTATATTTGTTTTATTTCATTGGACTTAAATGTTTGTTGCATATCTGCTTCATGTTGAGCACCACACTAGAGAGTCTTAAGTGGCACATTAAAACAGAAAAGATGGTGCTAAGGCTGCATCCAAGTATCACATGAGGTTAGGTCTCAAGGTCATTTCTGACTACTCAGTTATGGTAGTTCTGTTACATCACTGCCAGCCAGTGACTGATGACGCACGTCTTCTAAAACAAATTTTTTTATGATTATCTGTGTTTCGTTTAAGTGGCCATTATTACTTAGATACTTGGATTTAAAAAAAAAATAAAATAATATCCTTATTTTTCTTGCTTTCTTGACCTTGTCTGGAGAGGATTGTGCTGCTAAACCCGAAACTGTGCCTTTAGTGGTTCAAATCCACCAGCAGCACCAAGGAAGAAAAACGGACAGTCACCTGTCCTTTGATTTACAGCCTCGTAAATCCAGTAGAGGGTCTGTTAGGAGTCAGTTCCGACTCGATGGCAATAAGAACAAATTTTTCTTCATTTCTGTTATATGACATCATTTTCCAACTTTGCATCTATGTGAAAATAAAAATAATACAGTGTTATGAACTGTTTTCAGTTTTGTATACAAAGTCAAATTCATTGAGACTTTCCAGTGGATATGTGTTACATAATCAAGAACCCTTCCTTTTAAAAAAATTATGTCAAAATTTTGTATACATGTATGTTTGTATGTAGTTTACAGACACATTCTTAACTGATTTTGTGTTCTAATAGTTGAATGTCACAGTCAGAGGAGCCGAAAATTCAAGCTATCTTGTTGAGGTGGGCAAGCTAAATCCATATACTAATTATACTTTTCGGATTCGTTGTGCTGGTGAATCTTTTTGGAAATGGAGCAGCTGGACCACTGGGGAACGACATCTGACCATAGAAGCCGGTAAGTTGGCCAAGCAAGACAAGTGATTACTGAGCACCCTGATGTTTCACAGCTCGGGGAGAAGGAGTGGGGAATGACTAGATAAACTGGGTTAATGAAATAGTACACAGCCATTTTAAATTAAGGTTTTAAAAATTGGGGGGAAATATGGAAAAATGCCATCAGATGGTTGCAGCTGTATTAAAATGATACACAGGAAATGAAACTTGAAACAGTGTTAAGATTATAGGGTGATTTTTCTTCCATTTGTTTCTTCTTTCATTAGAATTTCAGTATGTTTTAGAAATTTTTTAATTCAAGATAATTATTACTAAATAAGAAATAAAACTTAATAGAGGTTTTCTGTGAGACTTAAACCCAAGACACAATCAGGGCTAAAAGATTTTGAACATTACTTTTTGTAGGACCGAGGCCAACTGTGGTTTATGAAGCCAGGTTACTTATTTTCTAGGTGTGCTGACTTGCAGAAGCACAGTGAGGTTCTGTCCTTGAATAGCCATACGTCAGCATTGAGGCAAAGCAAATTTAGGTATAGGCATAATTTTCATGAATCACCAACAAAAAAATTGAAAATATTTTATTTGCACTAATAAGGTAGCGGGAGCTCTGGTGGCTTAGTGCATGAGAAGATTCACTGCCAACCCCAAAGGTGATTGACGGCTCTGACAGTTCAAGTCCACCGGCTCCTCTGAGGGAAAAGCACGTGTAATCTCCTCCCACGCAGTTTACAGCCTCAGAAAACCTGGTGGAGGGTCCCTATGAGCCAGTCTAACGCAGTGGCAGTGAGTTTAGTTTGAGAATGAGTTGAGTTTGAGTGGAAGGTAGAGGATGTGAGAATTCCCCAAATAAATTGATGAACCATAAAGCAGAAAAATGATAAATGTTAATTCAGATTTTACTACCCCTGCAAAAATATAAAGGTTGTGTGAGAATATGTGTGAGAGTTCTGTGGATTCTCAAAAGTTAAACCTAAACATTACCTAGCAAGAACAGTAATCATTGTTGCTACATAAAAACATCTATCTCTAAACTCAAACAAACAGCAAACATTTCTATAATCTCACAGTATCTGTGGGCTAGAAATTCAGGACCAGGGTAATGGACTATCTCTGGCTCCAGCCCCTCAGTATGTGGGGGCTGCAAACTTCAGTGGGACAGAGGACAGCCTCTCGTGGGGCCTCAGCCCCTCACAGTGTGCCTCACCTTCCACCCCAGGATGTGAGAGCCCCCGTGGCATGGCAGCTTGCTCCTCCAGAGTGAGCGAGCAAAGACAGGGCAGGTGCGCGGGTGCCACCGTCCCTTTCAGAGCCCCACCTCAGAAGTGGCTCACGGTCCCATCCTGTCTGTCCCACAGACCAGCCTGACACCAGAGGTGGCAGCTTATCCAGTGGACAGAGTAAGAACAGCTTTATTTGTGCCGACTTACTCATCTGTCATCAACAATTTCACACGGTTTCACCTCTTATGGAGGCTGTTTCTTCCTTGGAGTGGCTGGAAGATTGAAGTTGCCAGCCTTTCGCTTGGCGGCATAGCACTGCACCACCACAGGCTCCTTCTATTCCAGTTCAGGGTTGTGAATTTGCGAAGAGGCTTTGATGCTGTAAGAAGACACAGGGGGAGAAGTGTTAGGAGAGAGACAGGTGTCAGCCAGACCTGGAAGCAGAATCTTTGATTTTCATGCACTGAAAAAAAAAAAGGATTCACCCCCCCCCCCCATCTCTCACTACAGATTAGTAAATAAAACACAAATAAGCACATGCTTACCTTGCTTTTTGGGTACAGAGATGAGACGGTGGTGTAGGATTGGGCAGGGTTTCGATCTGTTGTAGATGGAATTGCTGTGAGTCGGTGGTCCCTAACAACAGCACCTCTTATGAGTGCAGGAGGGGACTTCCCAGGGTGAGTCGCAGGAGGTGAGGGGATCAAGGGCCAATTTGGAAACTGGCTGCCCCACAGGGGCTTTGGCCTTCAGCTAATGAGCTGCTTTTGCCAAGAGGAAACACCTTGTTTATAGCTCATTAAGATGAAGACATTGACTCAGCTAACAGACGTTTATTGAGCATGCATTATGTGTTAAGAACTGTTCAGTCACTTGGGATAGAGCAGTGAATGAAACAGCTCGGCCCGTGGAGTTCACAGTAGAGATGGTGAGTGAGGAATCCGTTTAAAGCACGTACTCACTCTATTTCTCCCTCAGTCTCACTCTCATGCTCTAGTATTGCCAGGTGTGCTGCATACCACAGAAAAAGAACACCTAGAAAGAGTGATGGCTGGTGGTGAGGAAAGTGACGAGAACTGTGGTTTTAAATAGAATCGTCAGGAGAGGCCTGACTGATGAGGTGCCATTTGAGCAGAGTTACCGGTAGTCCCCAAGTTACAAGTGTCCCTTTAATGTTATGTAAGTTAAGTTTGTCCTCACTTAGAGATGAGGAACCAGTCCTTCCTCTTAGCACATTCTTCATCGGGGTCACTGTCACCTGCTCTACATGTATCTTTTAAATCATCAAAAAGGCTTCTCACCTTCTGTTGAGCTGACGTGAACCTGAGTAAGACCCATAGTTGGAACTTACAGGCACACGTGGGAATGAATCTCGTCTGTGACCAGACACTGCCTGTGTGCAGGTGTTGAGAAGATGAGCCAGTGATGTGGTTAGTGCCCGGGGAGAGGGTTCAGGATAGACACACAGGTGCAGGGTCTGGGCCAGCAGTCCTTGCCATGTGCGAAGGACAACAGGAAGCCAGTGTGTTAGGAGGGCAGACAACTGACTTACGTGACAGCATGAGACCAAGAGGTCCCCGAGGGTGAGGCCAGCCTTTAAGGGTCTTGTTTGTATTTTTCCAGAGGTTGAGAGTTCAGCCTTTCCCTTTGCCTTATTTTTTCAAATGGAAGCCACTGAACGGATTCATGCTTTTCTTGAAAATTCTCAGTTCGCTCGGAAAATCATTTCAGGCACCACCATCTGAGTTACTTATATCCTCAAAAGCTTTGTGGTAATTGTGCTCAAATGCTAACTTCAATCTCCTTCGTAGTTCCTTCAAAGGGACCAGATACTTGGAGAGAGTGGAGTTCTGACGGAAAAAATTTGATAATCTATTGGAAGGTCAGTATCTCGGTTTTCCCTCGAAGACCAAAGCCCCTCTTCTGCTGAGCTGCTACCTTTGTTGGTTGTCAGGGAGCCTGGATTTCCTCCACCGGCTCGTTCAGTTCTGCTGAGAGGCTAACCTGGCTTCCAGATCCCCCTCCTGCCTCTCTCCGCTGAGTCACCCCAGCTGTTTTCAGTGAAGAGCCTTGGTCACTGCTGAGCGAACATTCCAGTGTTGATTTTACGAGAGTCCCACAGAATGTCCCACAGTGTCATGAATTCCATCTCCACATCTTTAATCACGGAGTCGGTCTGGGAGGTAGACTTCCAAGTGTCTCTGCCACTCTTTGTCCTTTGAATGGGAAACCAATTTTTTATATAACACATGTGTAGTTTGTTTTCTTTAAATGGTATGCTGTTATTTCAGTCTTAAAGTTGTGTGTGTTGATACATTTTTTTTAAAAAATGAGTTGTGTGGTTTATAGTTTTTCTCTCCTGGAGATTCCCACCCTCCCCACCCCCCCTTTACTGTATTTTTTACTCTGATTTATGAACACCAAAGCATGCAAACAGTTGTTTCCTAAATCAGGTTTTAAAACCATTTTCTCCCTCAAATTTTATTGTGGTGAAATTTGCCTCACAGAACACACACCATCTCAGCAGTTTCTCCACGTGCAATTCAGCGATTTCATTCTTCATGTTGTTCAGGATTCGCACTGTCTTTTTCTAAATCGTTTCGCCACTGTTGAAACTTGGTACCTCTTCAGCAAAATTGCTTTCTCCCATCTCCACTCTCCTGCTGACCTCTGAACGGCCTTGCTTTCTGTGTATTTGCTCACCCCTGTGAGAGCATGCAATATTTGTCCTTGTGCAACTCTCTTATTTTACTTAGCTTGCAGTTGTGGCCATTAATCGATCCTTCCTGTGGCATGCATCAGGACTTCATTCTTGTGTTTGGCTGCATTGTATCAGGTTGTATAAGCGTGGTCATAATTTAAAAAAAAAAGAGTGGTTATAATTTCAGTTAAGTGACAGATTTTGTTATTGGAATTAAAACTTTATTTTTATAAAACCTATTTAATACAGCTTGGTGCTGTTTTGGGGGTTTATTTTGCCTGCTCCTAGAGTTAGCTCTTTTTTAAAAAAATTGTGATTTTAATGAAAGTTTACAGAAAGGTTAGGTTTTTATTCATTCATTGTTGCGCATTTTCCTCCTTTTCCCTCCCTCAGTCCACTTTCAATGCACCTCTTGTTACAGGTTATTGTCATGCATATACTGCTTAATCATACTCTCTTCAGACAATCCTTCCCCTCATCTCTTCCAGTGCCTTGTTCATTGTCTACCCACTCTTCCTGTTTACTTCCAACCTCCCATGTCAATCTTATTTTATAACCGCCACCTTATTCAGTATTTGTCCTTTTGTGACTGAGATATGACATACCATCTCACCCCAGCAACAATAGCAAAGTTCAGCAGGGCAGTAAACAACACAATGCTGGCAGGAGTTGTGGGGAGATTGGAACTCTCATTCACCACTGATGGGAGTGGAAAATAGTCCAACCACAATGGAAGGTATTCTGGCACTTTCCAAAGGCTGGAAATAAAAAAATACCATTTGAGCCAGCAATCCTGTTAACATAACTTTAAGTGTTGCATGTAGGGTCAGCATAAATTGCTTTGAGATCATTTATAGGTGATCATCACATCTTTTGTTTCTCTTGATAAAAAAAAAATGAACTGTTGGCTCTCATCTGCCTATCATGATAATAAGGCAGAAGTTACATACACCACTTCAAGGTAAAGGAAGTCTTGGTATAGGTGAATTCCATAGGATTCCTACTCAGCCTTGATGAATGTTTAACCAGCAGTTTAAACTATTGAGGTGATCCTCATTCTGACCTCAGTGATGAGGTGATATAATTGGCAAGGATGAGCATGAATAGGTGGATGTGGTGGAGGTTGGATGTGTTAGTCTTTTAACTGGTGCCTCTGGGAGATGTGAGTAGAGTCTGGCAGGTAATATCCTGACAGGAGAGAGATCACAGCTCAGTTCATCACTTTGAATAGCATATAACCTGGATGTCTGTCAGGGAGGAAGCGAGGTGAAAGAGTGCCATGGATAGCACACAGAGGGCCCAGAAAGGAAAACAGTTCAGCAAAGGCAGAGTGGCAGGAAGACCGGAGGAAAGTAGTAACAGCAGAAACCAAGGGAGGAGGACAGTTAAAGGGCACAAAGTCAGTGATCAGGTGAAGCCCACAGATCTTAACACTGAAATGTGCTCAGGGACTGGGCCATTTGGGGTACCTTCCTGTGGAAATTGGGCAGTCTTTTTGGAAAGCATTGTTAAGAAGTTAACATTACATACAGAAGTAGAGAAGCTTGAGTGCTCATTTCCTTTTCTGTAATAAGCCTCCTTTTGTGAACTCTTAGCTGACTTTATCTTAATTATTAAAGTATGGCACTGAGAGTTTTATTGAAAAGTATTTTAAGGTTGTTAGTTGTTATGTGCCATCGAGTCGCTTGCGACTCATAGCGACCATATGTACAACACCTCTAAACTCTGCTCTGTCCTGTGCCAATCTCATTGTCTCTGACACACTCATC